AATCAGTGTTAATTAACACAATGCAAACTGATTATCAGAGATGTCAAAGTAAAGAAGAAAAGGGCAAAGGTTCTTGCAGAAAAACAGCCATGTGAAAAATGATTAAACTAACCAACAAAGAGGCTGATGACGCACATAGAAATGTGTCACATAATAGCATGTACTTTCTTTGTGAACAGGCTATAATCATCTCCTGTGCTGCTGCTGCTGCTCTGACGTTCACCGCTCTTTGTAGATTTGGCCGTCATTCCAAGTCTAAGCCATTATGGCTGCTTTCCCACTCCTAGCTGATATAAAGGTGGAATTTGGCAAGTGAGAGTTCAAATTGATGATTTCTACCAAATCCCTTCTAGAGGTCCTGGCATTCGTCAGCTATCTTGGAATTTATTTTGAATTAAGTGCAAATACAAAATATCCAGTCAAATTAAAGAAAAAAATTGCAAGATAAGTTTTTAAAGAGCGTCTCTCTCTTATCACTGCTCTCACCCAGGACCTAACCTAGTTGTGACCACAGAACTCCACAGAAAGTGACTGTAAACTGTACCCCAGTACTGACATTTTTCTTAAAATAAAATATTTTCTTGAAATAACCAGAATTCTCAGCAACACCTCACATCAACACATCTTCTTCTCCTGTTCTCTTTGATCTCACAGAGTGAAGTTTTGTTTGACTTTGGTTTGTTTCTGATAAATACTGCAACTTCAGCTAGCAAGGCTCGATGTGTGCCAGACTCCACACAAACAGCCTCCTGTGAGTGTTTGGCAACTGCACAAAATCATCTCGAGCTGGTTTCTTGAACACGACAATGAATTCACTGTACTCAAACGGCCTCAGCAGTAGAGCAGCTTTGGGAAGTGGTGGAAAAGGGGATTTGCATCGTGGATCCCGCAGCATCATGTGGCATCATGCATCACACAGCTGCATCTGCAGCAAATGTGCCAACATGGATCAAAATCTTAAAGTTGAATCCATGACATGAAAAATTAAAGCGGTTCTGAGCGCAAAAGGGGGTGCAACCCCCTTGAAGTGACCAGTGAGTGTATATTGAGCTGTTTGAAACACTGCTTTTGAAATTAGCCGCTACTTGAAAGAAGCCACCCTGTAGAATTCGTCTGCTGAAGCGCAGCGCAAACAAATATATTGACATCTGCACGCTTGAGAAGGATAAGAAGAGAAAAGCGAGTGTGCAGGCGGGACCATGTGGTGACTTGACTGTCCGAATGACATCAGCTGTAAGGGCCTGCATTGTATCTAACCACCTGCCAGATTGAATTACTAATCAACTGAAGGTGACAGAAGGCCATTCCAGCCCACCTTAAGACCTGCTGGCAGGCCAAGTTTGGAAAATCTTGGACATTTTCCCACTGTTTCCTCAGAGCACCAGTAAACATCCTCAGGCCTCGGGATCTCATATTTGAAAGTTAAGGAAAATCGCTCTTCAGACCTGTGTCGTAAAGGTGATCAATGAAATGTTCAAATCAATCCTACAGTGCATTCAGCACCAGCAAAGTGAAGCTAACATGGAAATAATATGCTGTTTCTTCTGAGTGGGCTGTCAGGACTCGGTCTCAAATAGGTGCACAGGGAGTTATTTGGATCAATACTAAATGCCTCACGATGCAATGCAATAACTGCTTTACACTGCACGCCTGTGTCCTGTGTGCTTCTGTGATAGTGTGCCGATACATATATTTTAAATATATGCGCCTGGGATTTCAATTTAGTCTAAGTGTTTTCGATCACACAAAGTGGGCTAACTGCCTGTCTGATTACCCCCTTCATTCATTTAATCTGGGTTAACAAATCCCGCCATTGATCCTTACAATACATGAAGATAAATGAGGGACTCGAATGGGCCCTTGGGAAAACTGATCAGCCGTCTAGAGAATGGAAAGCTGATAAATAGTTGAGCTTCACAAATGGCTTTTCCTTGAATCCTTTAGCTGTGGGGTATTACACAGTATTATGTCCTAATTATAGCTTCTGGCAACATACAATTCTTTGATGTTAAATGCTCAGTCTTATGGACGGCGTTTGTTTCTGTGCACTGCTTTTCAGCCACTATGAGAGTCTACTCGTGAGAGCTTTTACTCACAGTCCCGCAAGCAGATGAAAAAGTTGTGTTTTCATGTTTTCTGCTTTTGCTCACTCTTTGAAACTTCCTCTTCACCTCTGCACAAACACAAATGCCTCTTTCAGCTCATGTTGCGCCGTAACTTAATTTCTTTTTTCCTATGAATTGAGCTGCAGCCATCAAAGCCTGAGATAGGAAACACCCAGACTGACAGCAGTGCAATCCACACGACGGTAAGCTCCTAAACCACTGCCTTTAAAGATGAAAGCTAAAACAATGTAGACTTAGGGCTGTAAACAAATCCTTGCCTGCACTGCCTACTGGCCTTACAAACACCAATTTAAAGTTAAATGGGGCTGCAGCTCCCTCCAGTGTAAAGTGATGGACAGCAGTGAAATGATTACCTATTAAAACCTGCCAGCAGTCGCGGCATAAGTGGAATACTCAGAGCCGCAGTAAAACAAATCAGCTAGGTAAAATTTCCACGGTAACAATATTTAATGTTTTGGCTCTTTGCTCTTTTGGCTCCAAAATCGCTTTGTCCTTTTTGAAATCTGCTCATTTCAGCCTTCATTTCACATTTCCCCGCCTGGACTACATCTTCTGTCTGACTGACGTGACCCTTGTCTCACATTGGGGGCTTTGGGATTTTGATAAGTGCTGCTGATTGGGAAACAGGAAGGCCCGGCGGCCCCTGCAGCAGACTGGAGACTGAGAAAATTATGCTCGATTCAATTTGCTACATTGATTGCATTCATTGGTGCCAGTGTTAGTCCGTAACCCCGTTTAATAAAGTGACCATGTCAGTAGCCTCGTGTTTACAGGCTTGCTTTTATTACAATTTGCTACAGAAAGAATAAAAGTGTTATATTTGTCTATGTTCATGATGTCAAAAAACCAAACTATCGTTGGGATGAGTGTAGAACATGACTGAAGCTGTGTCAAACCAAACTGATTGGACAGAGATGGGCGACACACCTGTGAATGTCCCACAACTCACACTGTATGCCAGGACAAATTAAAGCCATGAAATCCAAGTGTCTGTAGGCAAACACGTGGTGAGCCATAGCTCACAGGGAGGGTTTTAAATCCTTTTAAAGGTTTTCCCAAGAGCACTGTTACCACAAAACCTGTGAAATTGAAGAAATTTGGAGCCACCAGACCTCCTGCAGCTGGCTAAATTAAGCAATTTACAAGAGCGGCTTTGGTCAGAAAGGTGAACAAGTCACTCACCGAGCTTCAGAAGTCCTCAGCAGGGATGTGAAAACGGGCTGGAAAGAAAACCATTTCATTCAATTCATCACTTTATGTCAGAGCAGCTAGACAGAAGCCACTCTTAGCAAAACGCAAATGACAGCCAAGTTGGACTTTGGGATTTGAGAGACAGTATTTAAAGAATTCAGAGCACAATGAAAGAATTATTTGGCCCAATTCAAGCTTATTATCTGGTTATCACAGTCCTTAGAGCAAAGGATGGAGATGGTGGGAACACCATGTTACGGGGTGCAGAACCAACAACAGGTAAACTAAACTAAGGGAAAGAAAAACTGAGCCAAAAATGATCCACTCCAACTCACAGTTACGTTTAAGGTAAAAGGTTATTCAGCGTAGCTCGAGAGGAAAACATACAACTCTCTCTACTTAAAATGAAATGTACAACACAATAGACCTCTTCAGCATGTGAAGACGTCTGAATGCTTTCTATAGCTGCTATACTGCAGCTGATAAGCAACTAATGGCAGCTGTGTTTAAAAGCTCAGTGCAGACTCCACACAGCACACTGCAGACGGACTGAAATCCATTATCTCCTGTTTAATCCCCCCTGTGTAGCTCCTCCATTAAGGCACCTCTGAGACACCGCAAATCTGAATTTGACAAAAGGAAATTAGGAAGATGTTTCTTACAATTTTTTTTAAAAACTATTGGCCTCGATGCAGTATTAAAAGGCTGATCAATTCTTAGTGATTTCAGCTTTTGCAGAACATATTAAGACTCGATCTGTTGGAATGGATTTCCAAAGGCTTATTAGACCTTACAGTCCCGTTGATCGATGACACTTAAAGCCCTTCAATTATGTTAGAACAAGTTTTAACCTTTGTCTTTATTTTTTCCTCCCAAATTTGCCAGTTGAAGCACATTTCAGACATTTTTTTATTCTAACTACCTGTTAATTCTGTTATTCATTTATTCTTTGAAAGATTTAATCACTTGAATCTGCCCCAAGGTCGTTTACTGTGGTTGTGTATAATCTTTACAATAGAATTATTATTTTTTTAATTGCTGTATCTGATTTTTTAAGTTATTTAGCATTTTATTAGCATAGAAATCTTACATATTAGTTAAAAGTACAAAAATCTGTCAGGTTACTGTGGCATTTTGCTGCACTGGTGCAGACGAATTACTGATTCGAGGTATTTTGAAGAATCTGCTCTAAACAGAATACATTATTACATGTTTTACTTACTGTGTTTATCATGTAAGTGCATGCTTGTAAAGGATCTTACATGAATAAACAGCTGGGCTTTAAAGGTTACCACCAGAACTGCAGCAGGGACCTCATTAAAGAGCCACTTAAAGCTTCATCAGATCAAGAAGGATCTACGTGTAGAAGCGTCGCCTGCTGGTTTATTAGAAGAACACCGAGAACGTGATGATATTTGTCACGGCGAAGTGACATTTGAAAGCTGCTCTGGTGGCAATGGACTGACGCCGCGTTTCCCAAACTAATCTTTTCTCTCACAAGTGTTTTTTACTGACATTTTAAGGGATCTTAAAACGAGGCAGAGCCAGATTTCACACCAAGTGCTCTTTTCTTAAGTATAATCATATCTACATTAGTCTTTTTACTTTACGGCTGATCTGCCCGTCACTGCTGATAAGTCAACTTCAAAAAGTCAGTGTCCATCAATAGAGCATCACCACAAGTCAATTAGTAAAGCGTTTATAACAAGGAATGTACCACTTACAGAAAGCAACAAAATAATCCACAATTTAACAGTTAATAATTGCAAAACCAATGTTTTAATTATATTAACACTCAAATGAATATATGTCATGAAACACTTTAAAAAGGTGGATTACGTGCAATGGCTCAAGGCAAAAAAAAAGCAAAAAAAAAAGCATAAAACGAAGGTCTAACATTCTAATAATATGCAAGCAAATTAATATAATAAATTAAAAGAGTTTAATGTCAATAAGGATTACAGCCAAACCAACGATGCTGTAAAACAGGTGAGAAATATACATTTTCTGATTCCCTGCCATTCGCAAAATAAAAATATAAAATCAGAACGATTTTGTTTAGTACAAAATGAAGCACTCTAAATGACACCCACTATTAATACCTCTCATTATTAGTGTTTGTGGAAGTTTTTGCATTCATCTGTTTTCCATAGCATTTCTTTTTTCCTGTGGTAGAAGTTCCTGGGCAGGTTATGGCAACATTTGGCATGAACTCTTTATTTCCTTCCAGATTGCATTCCGCAGAGTCTTTTGCAGCAAAGTAAACATGTGCACCAACAACAAAATAAGACAAGAAAATGAAAAGAGGCACATAAGGGCTTTCTCAAACAACAAATTTGTTCTTGGTGGTTGAACCGCTTTTGGTAGCGGTGTCTGCATGAGACTGGTAACCAATAGTCATCTTCACGGGAAGCCCCAAGCGTTCCTTGTAAACTCTCCTGTTGAAATACGAAATGACAACGTAAGATGCTGAGGAGGCCTTCAGTGCTTAGAATACTTAAACAGACCGCGATCTGATCTGCCTCACCCTATGTGCGTTACAGCTTCGCGGTTCTCGTAGTCTGACGTCCAGACGGCTATTTTATCCCCTTTTGTGCGGACGTTGACCACGGCTCCGCAGACATCATCGCTGTAGTCGTCAAAGGCCTCTCCGACTAAGCACAGCAGCTGGTGACAGGATGCAGAGGAAGAAAAGCTGTTGTCTTGACATAATGAATCACATCTTTATTTTGACAGCAACTTGAAATCCTCATTCTTTGCGACAAGAGAAAAGGCAGTGAGGTCGTTGAGGCTTGTCGTATTCATTACTGGGGAGCTGACATTTTTAAGGATTTCTGCTTTTTCAAAATCAGTGACACGACATAGTATTTGGTGGCATTTTACGCTGACATTATTATTTCCAAAGTTACTACTTAATCCTAGTGTGATATTTCAGCAGTATCTGAACACATTTTGTTCTGACACCTTCAATATCTTCAGACTGCCTCGGCCCTGTTTGAATGTGAAAAACTTCTGCAGCCGACCAAAAGCTTTAATCACAAACCTGATCATCACACGAGCAGAACATTAAAGGGTTCTTGGTGTTTTTTCATTAACCGATCTTCTGATATTTCACTTCAGTTAAGTTCAGGATCAATGGCAGGTCAGAACAGGAAGAAATTTAGTAAGAATTTACTTTTACCTGAGTTGAGTTCTTCCAGCTTTGGAAGAAGAAATTGTTTTTATCCTATTAAATAAAATCGTAATGTGAATAACCCACTGATTCACCCTATATACTGTAAGTGAATCCTATCCTATATATCAGTGGTTCTGAAACTGTGGTATGTGTACCACTGGTGGCACGTGGGCTCCCACTAGTGATACGTGGGAAGTCTTCAAAGATTTTTTT